ACTTCCCACTGAAGTAGGTGAGAAGAATTAGCACTAGAAATGAAGGAGGCATGATTGAATTGTTGATTCTTAAAACTGTGTGGATCTGGTCTCTCTCTCTCTCTCTCTCTCTCTCTCTCTCTCTCTCTCTCTCTCTCTGTGTGTGTGTTTAGGTGTACATTTGTGCTACACTGCACATATGAAGGTCAAAGAACTGTTCTCTCTTCTTGTTTGAGAGAGTATCTTTGTTACTTGCTGCTGCATATCCCAGGCTAAATGGCCAAGAGCTTCTGCAAACCTTTTATGTCCACCTGCCCCATCTTGTCACAGGAGTGCTTAGATTACAGCCAGGCGTTTTTGCTTTCAGCCTTGTGTGGTTTCCGGGGGATCCAAACTCAGGTCCTTTATCTGTGGCACAAGTCCCTTTACCTGCTAAGCCACCTCCCCAGCTCAAAGAAGAGCATTTTTATTTAAATTGTGGTATACTGTAGAGTAAACACAATGGGTTTTGAAAATGTACTCCAAATTGAACTAAAATGAAAAATGTTTTAATATAAATTTTGTCAATAATACCTTGAAATGAAAATAGTTCAGATATGTCATTACATAAAATATAATATATTGCAATTAGTAATTAACTTTACATATTCTTAGAATGTTTAAAATTACATATGTAGCTTCCTTGTCAGATATACTGTCCTGGGTGAAATAATGTTTCTCATTCTGAGTCATTGGCTGTTCTGACACTCTTGATATTTTGATATTCCAGCCCTGAAGGAACTCAGTGATCAGACTTATTTCATCAGAGGACTGTTTCATCATATTAAGAAAGGTTGCATTCTCTAAACTGCTAAGAAAGACAGAAAGATGAGCATTTTTTTTTAAGCCTTTGAGATGTAAGTTAAAAGCATAGAATTAGAAGCAGCCACAATACAGTCTTGAAGACACTGCAGGGTAGAAAGTGAAGCGAACACAGAAATGGAGATCCAAGAAACAGAGCAACAGACTCTTGAAGTCAAAATTGATATTCCTGTAACTTAGGTGCCTTTGGACTCAGGCCTGTTTGCACTACGAAATTCTCCCTGTGTGTTAAGTATGAATTACTCACTGGCTCAGGGGTTGCAAAGACCAGAACTGACTGCATCATGGGGAGTGGTATCAGGGCTGAAGAATATCAATCATGTACAGATCAAGGAGTGTGAACTAACAGAACACAAGCAGAAAAAAAGTAAAAGTAGTGTAAACCTGGCCAAGAAACCAAGCTAATTGGGCCTAAAGGGAAAATCTATGCTATTATTTTGCTCAATGTATCGAACTGCCTTCTAAATAATTGACTCTATACCTATAGTTCAATGCATCATTCAGCTCTTATCAAAGGAGCTTCTTTTTGCAGTGTTGGTGGTAGTCAATAGAGATTCACAACTTGTCAAAATACAGAGAACATCTGTAACATATCTTTTACTGCCAAGCTTTGGCAATATCACAGAAGAAGGGGTAAGAGCTAGAATTTGGGGATGATTTCTCCAAAACTGTGTCTTCTGGACATTGCATGAACTCACAGTAGCTGTAGCTGCCAGCATAAGACCTTCACAAGATCAAGCCAGTCAACACAGGCATGGGACAGGAAAGGGGTTCAGGAGTCCTCTCTCACCATGTGCCCTTTAGTTGAGGAGCTAAAGGCAGTTGATGGCTTCCTGATAGAGAGGAAAGAGTCAATTTCTTCCAGGTATGCCCCCCTATAGGTTGTCCATACCCAATATGGAGAAGCATTAATTGGACTCTTTGGGTAGTGAAAAATAAAAATCAAAAGGACATGAAGTTGGGATGGGGATGTGGTGGGATGGTGTCTAAGAGGACTTTTAGGGAAGCAGTAGGGAGTGAATATGATGAAAGTACAGTGAATATGAAAGTCCTCAAGAATAAATTTAAAATGTATTTAAAAAGAACCCCACAAAATACAGTGTTGACTGAGCCAGTTTGAGGTAGATTGGTAAACCTTTAATATTCTATGAATACCAGAAGCCAGACATGTCATGTAAATCCTTCCCAGAACTATTTATTTATTTGATTTGTGAGATTTGCTAAGTGCCCTTGAATCACAGAACCTTCATCTAAAAAGTCATGACACAAACCATTTGTCTTCCACTGTTGTAACAGGGACAAAACACTGAGAACTGAGACTGACACAGATGCAGAGGATTGTCATCTGACTGTGACAGTTTAGTTGTTTTTCGGTAGATACTGCATGTCAAAATCTGAGAAGATTTTAAAATTTCTGCATCCTGAACCTATGACCTTCTTCCCTGAAGCAACACAGAAGCATACTTTTCTTTAAAAGCACATACATTTGTTGCATCAAACTTTTTTTTGTTGCTATAATAAAATAAAATACCATGACCAAAAGCAACTCAAAGAAGGGTTTATTTTGGTTAGGAGGGCAAGGTGTCCATAAATGGGAAAGGCTAGGCAACAGGAGCAGGAAACTGAGAAATCACATCTCACGGGCACACAGGAAGCAGCTAGGGAGCACTGGAAGTGTGATGAGGCTGTAAACTCTCAAAGTCCACCCCCACACAACATGCCTCCTCCAGCAAGGTTCACATCTTAGCAGTTAATAACCTTAAACAGCACCACCAACAGGGGGACAAGTGCTCAAATGCATGAACCTATGTTTGTACTATTTAGTGTGTGTGTGTGTGTGTGTGTGTGTGTGTGTGTGTGTGTGTGTGTGTGTATGTGTGTGTGTGTGTGTGTGACCCTCGGGTGCAGGCAGATGTGCTGCTACAGCATACATGTGGAGGGCAGACAACAATTTTCAGGAGAGGATTCTTTCCCTTTTACTGTGTGGACCATAGGGATCAAAGTCAAGACATCAGGCTTGACAAGAAGCGCCATTAACCACTCAAGTTTTTTTTGGTTTTGTTTTGTTTTGTTTTTATTTTCATTTCCACCATAAAGTCTAAAACAGTGTGTTTCTTTTCTCCAGTAATTTTGAAAATATTTGTCTTTTGCCTGTGAGAAAAAAGTGTATAGAATAATTTTGGTGAAATTGTAACATAATGATAAGCCTCTTAAATTTGCATGTAATACTTGTGTTTCCTTCAGAACTAGGAAGAAACATATCTGAAAGCATAAATGGCATTGATTAATTAATGTCTTCTAATTACCAACTTGCTACAGAAATACAAGTTTTACATGTATGTGATGTTTAACTTCTGAAATTTACTTTTATCTAGGACATTGTTAACTTTAAATATTTAATTTACTGGCTGCCAGTGTCCCAGATGACTCTTCTTGGCTTTCTATATGTTTCAATTGAGAATTCTTTTTGCTTTGGTAGATAAATGCTATATATTGAATGAAATTAATATATTCCAGGCTCTAAACTAGAAGTATATTATCAATGATTAAGCATGTCAGTATGTGTACAGTATACTGCACAAACTACTTTATTCAATGAAGTGGGCAACATGCCCACCTCTGATCCCCCAGTCGGAGTGACCACAGTCCATAGTTCAGTTGGGAAATTAGGGGAAAGAATTTACCTTTGGAGCTAGGTGTCTCGTGATATAGGCAAATGAGTTTTTTTTTGTTTGTTTGTTTTTTTTTTTGTTTTTTTTTGTTTTTGTTTTGATGCCATGATTCAATCAGAATAATCTAAGTTTTGATTTGCCTTCCAGTTCTTGGTAATCTTTTCTTTCTTTCTTTCTCTTTCTTTCTTTCTTTCTTTCTTTCTTTCTTTCTTTCTTTCTTTCTTTCTTTCTTTCTTTCTTTCTTTCTTTCTTTTTTTTTCCAGACAGGGTTTCTCTGTGTAGCTTTGCGCCTGTCCTGGAACTTACTCTGTAGACCAGGCTGGCCTCGAACTCACCGAGATCCACCTGCCTTTTGCCTCCCGAGTGCTGGGATTAAAGGCGTGTGCCACCACTGCCTGGCCTTAGTAATCTTAAATTGTTTCAATTTTTAAAAAAAGTTTAATAGCTTCTAGATTATTTTTTGTCATATTCATATAATTTTTTAATCTGATTCTCACTTTAATATTTTGCAAGTTTGATGACTTTAACGATTAAATTTATTCTTTGGCAAATTCATATATATACACATATATATGTGTATTCTGATTATTCTCACCCTCAAGCTATCTTTTGTTGTAGAATATTATTTTAAAGTGTGTTAGTTTTGTTTGTTTAACTCTGTGAAGCTGTGTTACTGTGCCTGTGTAAAACACCTCATGGTATAATAAAGATCTGAATAGGCAATTGTGAGGCAAGAGAAAGGATGAGGGGGCGGTGGCTGGCAGGCAGAGAGGATAAATAGAAGGAGACATCTGGGAAAAAAGAAAAGAGAAGTAGCCAGAGAAGGAGGAGGACTCTAGGGTCTAGCCACCCAACTACACAGCAAGCTACAGAGTAAGTGTAAGATTTACAGAAGTAAGAGAATGGGAAAAGCCTTGAGGTAAAAGATAGATGGGGCTAATTTAAAGTTAAGGAAAAGCCAAGCCAAGACTGGGCATTCGTAAATAAGAATAAGCTTCCATGTGTGATTTATTTGGGAGCTGGGTGACTGGCTCCCAAAAGAAAAAGAACCAAGAAACAAACAACAATCTTTTCTCCCTCCATCCCTGTCAATTTCCTTTTTTCCTTACAAATGATTTTCCTACATTTTTATCTTTTTGTTTTATTTTATGACCTACTGAATTCAATCAGAGCATCTGTTTCACCATGAATTGGAACTCTTTCCTAAGGTCTGGTAGGGTCACCAGTAGATGCTTAACTCCTCTTCCTCTCCATCTATCAGTAGTCACTAGTTAAACAAGCAAGAGGAGGTGGACCCCCTAAGCCCTGCCTGCATCCATGGCTCACTTCTGCCAGGCCTGGGTCTGGTAACTGCAGCTGTTTTGAGTTCAGGATTGCTGTGGCTGTGCCAGGGCCAGGAGATGACATTTGGAAGCCTCTCTCCCTATCTTACAGCTAGCTCCTTAATTCTTTGCAATACAAAAGTAACAACAACAAAAAAATACTTACTGTCTGTGGTTGAGCACTTGCTTTTGACCTCTGATCTACTTTTGATGCTGAAAGTCTTCTCCAGGACGAAACACCACCACTCCTTTCATCTGTAGGTTCAGCAGAGCTGATGACTGGTGGGAAGATCCAAGGTGGAGTTTACTCTTCTATGATATAAGTTAACCAAAAGAAGACAGATAGTCTTTCTTATTTATATAAGAGTGTTTCAAAAATGATGTTGAATACATGAGTGCCCCACCCTCTAGATTGGTTATAGTCAATTGAGACACAAGTATCTTAACAAGTAGAGGACGTTATGTGCTCGGATACTAGCAAAAACATTACCTACTGAGAGAAAGAAAGATAGGGCCTGCTAATTGCACAACAGTGGAAAGATACTTTCATAATTACAGGGCTGTAGTGACAGCTGCGTACACTGTCCGCTAGCACACGCTGCAGGTGGTAATTTAACCATGTGCATCCCATTCATTTGCATGGAGAACAGTGGGGGGTGGCCCTTCCGAATCCTATATAATTGCAGACATTTTAAGCAACTATCATTTTAATACCGTGTAAAGTGTGGCTTATTTTTCATAGTGGATTTTCCTATCCAGCAGAGCTTTTAAGGATCAAGTTTCAAGTATTTGTCCTTTTTTTTTGTTTGTTTAAAATTCTGCCTTTATCATTTTCATATTCCAAGGTGCACAGGGAGGGTAACAGCTCCAAAGTCTCCCTCTAAGAAGAACATTTGATTAAGATCTTGTCTTTTTATTGGCATCCCTAAATGGAGTAAGTACATAAGAATGTAAAAGGTCACTGTCAAATGCATTCTGAGTTCAACTTTAGTTTTCTAAAATTGACTTCAGTCATCACTGTGTATGAAAACATTGTTGAAATGTATTCATGCTCATCTACTATCATTCAAATTCATAGCTGTCTAACTAGTTTTGTGAACTTGACACAAACCTAGACATATCTGAAAATAAAATAAAGGAACCTCAATTTGAGGCATTGGATTGCCTCTATCAGATAGGCCTATGGGTACATTTGTGGAGCATTTTCTTGGTAAGTGGTTAATGTGGAAAGGGCCAGCTCATGGGACATGGTACCTATTCTGGGTAGGTAGTTCTGGGTTGTGTGAGGCTGAACAAGCCATAGGGAGCAATCCAGTAAGCAGCATTTCTCGATGCAATGCTTCCTTCCCTGACTTTCTTCCATCATCAACTGTGATCTGGATGTGAAGGCCAAATAGAGCCTTTCTTTCTCAGGTTGGTCATGGTGTTTATCATAATAACAGAGAGCAAACTAGGATGCTGGTGCTCTTCGTTCAAAGTGAGAAGAGATTCAAGGACCAGCTGTCAGATGAAATGGTTCCTACAGAGGTGGAACTGTTGGCTAGAGATGAAGGGCATATAGTCTCAGCCTTCAGATCAGAGACTTTTGTCTTACTTGACCTATATTTTTAATGACAAATAAACACAGTAACAGCCTTCTTTCTGATTATTGGGGCAATAAAAACAAAGAGACAATATTATAAGAGTAGGTCTTAACTGCTTGTCTTCAGAGTGGGAACTAGTCACCATACCTGCTGGTCTTTTAGGGCACTTAAAAATAAACTCACAATGTAATCAGTGTTTTTGTTATAAATATTTGGTGACTGGTAAAGATGCTGGTGAAGTGTGGGAGCAAAGACGTGGAGTTCTCAGTCTGTTCCCACTGATACATAAGTTGCTGGGTTCTCGGGGATATCCAAGCATATACAGGCAGTGGTCCTTTGCCAAATATACCATATCAGATTTCAACCACCAATAATGATACAGGAATGCCAAGATTATTTCTAATTCGTCTTCTTTCCCTCCACTGGCAGAAGATCACACAAGTTGTTGGTAATACTTGAGATCTTGAAGTTCAGTCTACATTGTACTAGAAAATGTTAAAAAATGACTTAGATTCATACCAGTGTAAAAACAAAGAGAACATTATAGCTAGAGGCTTAGCTTGGCCAAGCAAACTTGGATTACAAATTCTGTTTCCTAGGCATCTGCTCTTGTAGCTAAATAGAGAGACCAAAGAGACAGTAGTGAGCTGATAAAACAATAACCATTATTTTCACAGATGAGAATGTCCTGTTATGAATTAAATTGAATAAGGACACTGATACATTTGGAGTTTGGTTCTTTGCTCTTTGGATAATGCTCATGTTTTCTTTTAGTCAAAATCAGTTTTCTTTTCATTTTTCTCTTGTCTCTTTGCCTGTTGGTGTCCTATTTAGTGGAAGAGATAGATAGAAGTCTGTGGAAGAAATTAAGCTTCCAGGGAAGAAAATATTCCAATTATGATAAAACCTACAGAAGACTAAAGGTGGCCTGCTTGTTTTTATCTTTACATTATGACCAATACAGATTTCTATCACAGAATAAGGAATGTTTTTGCATAGTTTTCCAAGCTAAATTATACCGCGAGGCATGATATAAGTTTCAGAGGTTCAGACAGATGGCTAGAGTATTTCCATTTTAACTGTAATTGTGGTTGGTGATATTTTCACTGTATATTACATTAAGATAATGAAGTTCATGAGTGAGCTCACACAAATCACAAGATTCTCCCCAATTCATCACAAACAGGCTCATTAATGTGGATTTCTATTCTATTTAATTCGGAGGAAGGCCAAAGACATCCTACTTCCTTGAGCCCAACTCATTTCTCTTCAATTTCCATCTTTGCCTTTTAGAGCACAGTGGACATGTGTTTGGACATTTACTGGTTTTGTTCCTCATCTAGTTCATATTTGTTTTTCCTTTAGGAAATGATGAAGTGTCCACTCTTCTCCCTGCCTCTGCCTTTCTTTGTTTTCTTTTTAGCTTCCTGGTTCATTCTTTCTTTACATGAGTCTATGGAGGCATAGTTGACATGCAATGGGTTACACAATCTGTGTATGTTGAGTTACATAATATGTGGATTTGACGCTTGGTATATATTCATTGAACGTATCTATTAGTCCAAAGTGTTTCTTGTTTTTTTATTCCCTCCTTTCTTTCTCAAGTCCTAACCTGTATGAGCCTTTGATCTTTTCTTACAGTGGTAGTTTTTTTTCTTATTGTGATAGATCCTGAATTTTAGGAAGTAGTTTAGATGTAATGCTTATTTCCCACATATTCAGTCTATAGATGGCTTGACCTTTATAGTAAACAGAGCAGCATGAATAAAGTTGAACTAAACAAATGGAAACTGGAAAAATGGAGAGGGCAAAATAAAATACAAAAATAGTAGCTGTCCTTTTATAACTTTGGGACACAAATACTGAATATGTTGAGTATCTTTAAGTAACCAAACACAGCATTGATTGTGGCACATTGTATTTTTCAAAGGGAGATGAACTACAGATAAGACCAAATTTACCAGCCTTATTTGAAGACACGTATTTGTGGATAGGGTATAATGAATGGAAATGTTAAAGGAAATATTGACATCCTAAAATCTGAAACTATATTGTGTTGTTATTAAAAATGAACAATTTTGATAGATGATTTAGAGTACCTTTTAATTTTCAATAGACTGCTTTTTCTGTCTATTTCTCTACTTTGTTATTTGCACCTAAAGTGGGAAAAAAAACATATATAGAGCAGTGGTTCTCAACCTTTTGGTCATGATTCCTTTGACAAAATATTTACATTACGATTAATAACAGTAGTAAAATTATAGTCATGAAGTAGCAGCAAAAATAATTTTATGGTTGGGAGTCAGCACAGCATGAGTAACTGTATTAAAGGGTCGCAGCATTAGGAAGGTTGAGAACACTGCTCTAGAGCATGTACTCTGTGATTGACTATATGTGGTTTTCATTCAGTGTTGAGGCACAAGGCTGAGCACTTTATGCCCATCTGTTGGAGTGTTGAAATCAGGGAGTATGTGAGTGTGGTTTTATTTGTGAAGAAATATAACAGAAGTAGAGTTTTGTCACTAGATTTCTTCCCTTTACCTGTAAATTAAAATAATACAATTTGTGCTAAACAAGAGAACATGTTTCAAAGGCCTGAAATATAATAAACAATCTTTAAAATGCTGGGTATTATTCTTACTTTGGAAATTTGGTATTTTAGTGGTGTTTGAATCAAACTCTTCACATATCTCTCACCCCAACCTACTTGCCCTTTAGAAAATGGGTATTGATTTTTCAAACTCTGGAAGCTATAGCTGTAGCCGGTCAAGAAAATCTCCCAGATCAGCAGCTATTGAGTTAGCTGCCTGCAAGCAGCCAGGAGAGGGTCACTTCTGATTAGAACTGACATCTAGGACTTTTAAAAATGAGTTCCTTCCTAGCCTCCTCATGGATTCCTCTTTATTGCTCTCAGAATTGTAAGCCTTGTTACTTAAAATAGTACAGGCACTGCATTTGCTTTCTGCTCACAATCAATATGATTCCGAATAATTAAAAGTTCAGGCACTACTAATTTCCTCATGAGGTGTCTTGGAAGCCAATAAATCTACAAGGATTTTAAATAATGCTCACTTTTCATGGCCTGAAGATCACTAACCATGAGTCAAATATAGAAACTGACAGTGTCATAGCATGGTGTGCGTGGTGTAACATTTAACCATTTATTATTGCTATGTTACATTAGCAATGAGTGTAACATTTATTGCTCTCTGGTGGAGACAGGAAGGCAGGGCTCCCAGTCATTTGTGGCAATGATTTCTGAGCACTGATTTGAGGAGAAATCTTTGCATATAAGCAGGTATGTAGTCCTGGGTTTCTCCAAAACTGGTTCCCAAGTTCTTGGAATAAAATCTAGTTAGAATTAGAACTTTATTTGTTAATGTTCACTTTTAAAGATCATAATTTAAGAATCCCTTATAGTATTGCAACATTTTCTGGTAAGAGCAGTATGGACTGAATAACAACTGAGGTGGGTCACTAGACTTATTATTTTCCTGTTATATTTTATTTATTTACATTTATTGTTATAATTTTACAGTATGCTGCTCTGTTACTCCTGGGATTTAGTTTCTGGGAAAGCCAAGTAGAGATGTTGTGAGCTGACATAAACAAAGAATAAGCAAGTCCTGAGTGTGTGAACAAGTGGGCATACATGCATGCACCCATTAGTGTGCGAGCTGGGATGGGAAATCATTGCAAATCCAACTAAAGATATATAACTTTGGACCACATTGAGGGCTTTGGCCACCGAGGAGTGATAGATGCTTTCCCCATCCTCTTACAAATGTTATGCAGCTCCACAACCTTATGGGAAGGGGAAGAGTGGAGTGAGATGGCAGTCCTAACCACTGCAGATGCAGAGGGAGCTGGCTGCTCCCCAATTGGTTCCCAACAGTTGTTTCTTATGTAAACTTTGCATGTTATT